ATCTTCAACAAATGGTGCTGGCATAACTGGATGTCAACCTGTAGAAGAATGAAAATAGACCCATATCTATCACCATGCACAAAACTCAAGTCCAAATGGATCAAAGACCTCAATATCAATCTGAACAAGCTGAACCTGATAGAAGAGAAAGTGGGAAGTACCCTACAGCATGTGGGCACAGGTGATCGCTTCCTAGGTATAACCCCAGCAGCACAGACAGGAAGGGAAACATTGAATAAATGGGACCTACTGAAACAGAGAAGCTTCTGTAAAACAAAGGACACTGTCACTAAGACAAAAAGGCAACCTACTGACTGGGAGAAGATCTTCACCAACCCCTCAACAGACAAAGGTCTGATCTCCAAAATATATAAAGAACTCAAGAAACTAGACTTTAAAATGCTAATTAACCCAATTATAAAATGGAGCACTGAACTGAACAGAGAATTCTCAACAGAAGAAGTTCAAATGGCCAAAAGACACTTAAGGTCATGCTCAACCTCCTTAGTGATCAGGGAAATGAAAATCAAAACAACTTTGAGATACCGTCTTACACCTGTCAGAATGGCTAAAATAAAACAACACCAATGATAGCCTTTGCTGGAGAGGTTGTGGAGTAAGGGGTACCCTCATCCATTGCTGGTGGGAATGCAAACCTGTGCAACCACTTTGGAAATCAGTGTGGCAGTTTCTCAGGAAATTTGGGATCAACCAAAAGCATGGGATAAAAACGGACTGTCTGAACATGGCTGACAATGAGGGCTGATGAGAAGCCAAGGACAATGGCACTTGGTTTTGATCCTACTGCATGTACTGGCTTTGTGGGAGCCTAGCCGGTTTGGATGATCACCTTCCTAGACCTGGATAGAGGGGGGAAAGGACCTTGGACTTCCCACAGGGCAGGGAATCGTGACTGCTCTTTGTACTGGAGAGGGAGAGGGAGAAGAGAGGTGGGAGGGGGAGTGGAGTGGGGGAGGGAAAGCGAAATGGGAGGTGGGGAGGAGGGTGAAATTTTTCAAAAAAAATATATATATACATAAAAGATTTCTCTTGTGTGATACCCTGGACCCCACTATAAAAAGCCATTTTATTTGTCCCATAACATTAGCAATGTTTTCCTCACTTTTGGGACACCATTATTCTTGTGTCCTGAGAATAGAAACATTTCTCTACACACTGTATAATTCTAGCTAATGAAACAAGCCCTCAAAGTTCAGTCTTTGGTCCACAGTACAGTGAGAAATTTCTAAACCTATTTTCTACAATTAGTTAAGCGAGCCTGAGAGTCTCTGAATACAGTTTGCAAGTTATACTTTTCAGATTACTCACAAAGATAGGATTGCAGAAGTCTGGGTTATTAAATCACCATCTTTTTAACAGAGGGACCTGGATCACTTGCCAGTTTCTGTAATCAGAACTAGCAAGAGTTAACAGAGACCTGTAGTCCTCACTGCAAAATTCCTTAGCAACTAACTCATGGCAAAACTTCTCACCTCTGCTTATAGTAAAAAATGCAAGGGTAAGTGATGTATGATGTCCTTCTGTATATGTGTTGCTCTTATTGGTTGATGAATGAACCTGTTTCAACCAACAGTCTAGAAGATGAAAGGCATGTACGGTGTAGGAGGTCCTTCTGTATTTCTGTTTCTTTCATTGGTTAAATAAAGAAGCTTCCTTGGCCTTTTGATAGGGCAGTACTGAGGCAGGAAGACAGATCTGAATCCTGGGAGGAGGAAGGCAGGCAGAGAGGGCCACCATGGAACCAGCTACCAGGTCAGACATGCTGAATCTTTCCTGGTAAGCCACAACCTTGTGGTTCTACACAGATTAATAGAAATGGGCTGAATCAAGAAGCAGGAGTGAGCCATTAAGAGGATAGAAATAATGAGCCAGAACTAGCAAGAGTTAACAGAGACCTGTGGTTCCTCACTGCAAAATTCCTTATAACATACAATTTGTGTGTTATTTCGTGGTATAAGCTAGCCAGGCGGCCAGGAGTCGGGTGCAGCCCACTCCTCATACGACAGTTGGTTGGCAGGAAGCAGCCCGCTACTCATACTACATAAGTAGGAAAACGGAACAGAGATACACAGAGAGAGTAGGTAAATCAAGCAACAACCTAGACCCCAATATTCGACCTACAGTCTGTCCTGCCTATGGGATGTACTAGGTAAGACTGACACATAGATTGTGAGAATGGGCAACCAAAAATTGGTCTAGACTGAGACCCATGCCACAGGAGTGAGCCTACCCTGGACCCAGACATTGATGACATAGAAACCCAGAATAAAACCAAACATCAATGGAAGAAAATAAAAAAAAAAGCTACTGTAATTATGCCTAACAATATAGTGCTATACCCATAGATAGTTGGCTAAGCCATAATCATCAGAGACTCGTCATCCAGCAATTGGTGCAAACTAATACAGAGACCCACAACAGTCAAAGATTAAATGGAGCTCATAGAATCCTGCTGAAGAGAGGAAAGGCTAGTAGGAGTTAGTGAGGTCAATAATATAACAAACTAATCCATGAAATCAACTATCAGGGTTCATAGGGACACATAGAGACTGAACGAATGGATAATCAGGAAGCTTACATGGGACTGACCTAGGCACTCTGCATATATTTTAAAGTTGTGGGAACAATGGCTACCTCTGATTATTTTATGGGCTTTTGGGACCCTACTCCATGCTGAGTCACCTTGATGAGCATTGATAAAAGGGGAGATGCTTAGTCTTACTGCAACCTGAAATGCAATGTTTTCTGGATATCTATGGGAGACCAGACCTTTTCTGAACAGAAATGGAGGAGTTGATTGGAGGAGAGGAACAAAGTGAATGTTGGGGATATGGACTGGGAGGAAATGTGGGAGAAGAAACTGTGGCCTAAATGTAAAATAATAGATACAAAAGTAAATTTGAAGTAAGTAAATATTTCCAAAAGAAAGTGTACTAATGTCTTAAATTGGACAGGGGAAAATTCTTCTTCTGGCACTGTGCAGCATTACATTGTCTCAGGACATTCAAGTAATCTGTGAGGAAAATAGATATTAAAGTAAATTTCAAATGTTATATGACCTTAGGGGCATAAATGCTACTATGAAACAACGGGGATAATCAACCAGATGTCCCTGCTCCTATTATGATTTCTCAAGACTCTGCATCATTATAATTAACTTAAAAAACTGGTATTTCTCCACTGGACTTTGGGAACTCAGTACAGTGCTCCATTGTGGGTCTCTGTCTCTGTTTCCATTAGTTGCTAGATGAAGTTTCTATGGTGATATTTAAGATATTCATCAGTCTGACTACAGGGCAAGGCCAGTTCGGACACCCTCTTTTCTATTGCTTAGGGTCTTAGCTGGGGTCATTTCTCTAGTGTCTGATTTCTTGCTAACCCTATAATGGCTCCCTCAATCAAAATATCTCTTTCCTTGTTCTTATCTCTGTCCTTCCTCCATCTCAACTATCCAGTTCCCACCCTCCTCCCCTTTCTCTTCCACCTTCCATTCTCCCCAACCTCAGCATTCTACTTTTGTCAGGCAATTTTGTTTTTTCCCCTTTCCAGGTGGATCTATATATGTTTTTCTTAGGGTTCACCTTGTTATTTAGCTTCTCCAGGATCATGAATTATATAGGCTCAATATCTTTTGCTTTACAGAAGTTTTCAGCTTAAGCAACAATTCACAAAGATTTCCCTTTCTCCAAATCCGTTACAGCATTTGGTATTTGTTTTATTGACATTCAAAATAAGATGAAATGGTTTACATTTTATAACTGAATTTTTAAACTACTAAAAATAAATATTCTCTGTGAGTTTGAGGCCAGCCTGGTCTACAAGAGCTAGTTCCAGGACAGGAACCAAAAGCTACGGAGAAACCCTGTCTCAAAAAAAAAAAAATGTGTATATATACATATATATATATATACATATATATATACATATATATATGTATATATATATGGGCAATTTCTTTTTTATTTATAGAGTTCTTTATTAACTTTGACAAACTTAGATAATCTTATATTTTTCAGTCTGAAAAATTAGTTGACTATCCTTTAATGAGTATAAATTCCTTTATCATGGAGTATTTTTCTTTTTTTCTCCATTAGCATTAGTAGTTTTACTTAATTTGGTACATGTATTTAAAAATGTGATTTTTTTTTAAATACCTTAAAACATGTCACTTTAAACTATTTGTGCTTTAAGGTTTCTGTTGAGGAACCATTATTTTGATGTGTCTCTGTCTTTATATGAAATGAGGTTGTTTCCCTTTGGCAGCTTTCAAAACATTCCGTTTGTTCTAAATACTTAGTGCTTTAAATATACCATAAGAGGGGTTAGGGTTTAGGATAGAAATAGATCATTTGCCTAGCAAAAGGAAGATTCTGAGAGGAGTTTCTTTTCTGCTCCAGACTACTTACTAGTGGCTATCCATCTTGAACATGGATGGAACAATTATACTGTTCTTACACTATGATTATACTATTGACTCTATTGGAAATCCCTTCTATGGAGTTCTTAATTTCCTGTGTGTATTTATTTGTGGATTTCATGGTGTATATACATGTTCTTAATTTTGACAGTGTACTAGCTAGGTACAGTAGCACACATCTTTAATCCCAACACTTGGAAGGCAGATGCAGATGCAATCTCTCTTAAATTTCATTCCAGCCAGTGCTACACAGTGATACCCTGTGTCAAAACACAACCAAACTTATCAAAGTACTTAAGGTCATGGCTTTGTAATTCTAGTATAGGGAGATAGAGACAGGCAGATCCTTTGAACTCACTAGTCATCCAGCATATTCTGTTCTGTAAGTTCAAAGGTCTTTTCTCAAAGTATAAAGTACACACATTACACAGGCCCATAGACATATAGCGCCAGTGTTAAAAACATACATTAGTGTATCATAGATGAATTGCTGAACAGTAAACTACTTTACTAAAATCCCCTTAACACTCTTCTCCCCAATTTTAATGCAAAATAAACTTACTCTTAATGATTCCTGGAAGGAGCAGGCCTGGTACTGGGCATATTTAGCAATTGTTGTATGAGAACTTTTATTTTCATACCGCCAGATTTTCTTTGTTCCAGAGGGATCCCAGTTTTCATCTGCTGGCTGCAACAATTGTGTCCTCACTTCTACCATATGCTCATTATTAGCTTCTACCAAAGTTTTGGTAGAGAAAAGTCCAAGATCTTCATAAATAAATAATATTTGTTAATTTTGTAAAATTACAGTAAATGAAATGAAAATTTGAAAGACCATAAAATTTTACATTATGGAATAGTATGTTTCTATAAAAATAGTTTCAATCCATTTGGTAGAATTGCAAGAGAGTACCTTGATCTAGCTAGCCATCAAGACAGGTCAAAGAAGTATCTGGTGTATTTTATATTAAAAGTATCAAAAAATACTAAAAAAACATTTTTTAAATACATTTTAAAATATTCTATTATGCAACATAATTATCCATATTCTAAAACAAATGTTCAATTAAAGTAAGCTGTCACCAAACAATATCATTTATATCATGTGTGCTCAAATAAACATGTTTAAGTGATAAATTACTATGAAAAACTTTAAAGAGTAAGTTATAGAAAACAAATACACATGGGCCAAGGTAGAGAGCTGTAGGAGGGAAAAAAGAAAGAAGCAAAGTAGTACTATAAAAACAGAAGGGAGGAAAAAAGAAAAGGGAGTGAGGAAAAAACAGAAGCAATAGAAGATTAAAAAGACAAAAGTAAAGAAACAATTAAAATATTTGATATGATAAAAATAAAGCAACCAATGACTGGCAACTTAAGTTCACTAATAATGAAAGTGCTCAAATATTTTTAAGCTTACCTAACTTAAGAGCTCCAGCAAGGCCTCGAATTACTGTGACAGGGTTTTTTGGGTTGATGCAAAATTGATGTAATGGAGGAAAAAAGGCATCACGCTTATTTTCCAACTGCAAATTTAAAACATTTCATTAGTTCTCAATGTATGCACATTTCATTCTTTCATCAATGTGGCAATATACAACAAATATATTCCAAGCCATTAACATAGTATAGACAATGTAAGTATGATATGTATTGATATGACATTATAGTATTTATGATCATCCTTTCAAGAAATTATAACTTTCTTCTTTTAAATGATAATTTTAAAAGAATTGTAAAAATTTGATTCTCTTTAAATGCTTCTTATCAGTTGCATAACAATAGAACTTCTAGTGATAAGCAAATTTTAATTAACCAAATTTCTTTTCAGCAGCATGTTTTGAATGCACTGACTTCACGTATTTAATAAAATATGTGCTAAATCATGAGCTTAATATCTATAAATTTTTTAAAAGAATGTAAAATGTAAGAAGAACTATTTAGGGCCCCAAAACAACAAATCTTATTTTATGTTTGTTCTCAACATTCTTTGAAAATTTCTACATCTCTGCATGAGTCTCTTTTTCAACACTTTGTATTTAGAAGATTTATGTAATGTGTTAAAAGAAAAGCTCAAAAGGAAGCAATCAATACAATACCCGACCATATGTACACATATAGGGAATGAAAAGAGATATGTAAATCAATGTAGCAACATTGTACTCCCTTAAGTTTATTTATCTAGAACTTTAATCACTTCAAATAGAAAAAAGGGTAGGAAGCACAAATACTGGTAAGGCTATTGCTCTTTTATTTTTCTCATAAAAGGTCTCACTATATATTCCTGGCTGGTCTGAAACTGATCATACACAACAAACTATCCTTGAACATGTGTTCTGCCTCCCTCATTTTCACAAGTGCTAAGAATATAACCATATAATCCAGTAAACATGTTAATTTTACAATCTTTATATTTGATAAACAAGAAATAAAAACATTTTTTGTATTATTAACATTTTATGAAAACCTATAAAAACAGAAACATTACTAATTGCAATGAAATTTGTTTCCTTGATGTCATAATCCAAACAAAATATTTAATTTACCACCTATAAACAAAATTTAGATTTAGAAAATAAATTTAGATTAGAAGTTTAGATTAGAAAATAAATGCTATAACAAGAGCACCTTTTTTCAGATTCAGAAAACAATTTCTGAAATATTCAACCCATTAAGAGTCAAAATTTATAGCTACCAAAAGTCAATTTACACTGTTTTAAATAACTACTTTTTAGTATCATTCAAGTTAGTTCAAACAATTGACTTATTTCTAGTTAATTAATCAGACTCACATAAATACTGGGAGTGGGTGGGTTCAACTTCTCCTTTGGTAATGGAGGGTATGGTGAAGATGGTGGTCTTGGAGGTGGGCATATATCCAGCAGACTATGACTATTAGACAAACCATTTTTACCAAGATTCCTTTTTAAGAAAAGAAAAAGATAACAGAAAACATATAAAAGCTATAAATTGATTTTTAATAAAAGTCAGATTAGTCTTAAGATGTTTCTAAGAAATGAATTCTTACACAATTTTATATTGGTTAGAATTTTCTAAATTCTTTTCTCAATTTCAATATAAACGTGAACTAAACACCCTAACTTTATTCTTTCCTCAAATTCTCTTTAGATTTTAAATATTCACACCAAAAACTTTACAATAGTATTGTCATTATATTTCTTTTCCTACATACTACCAACAACTATTTCCAAAACAGCTTTGTAACCAATCCAAAATCCAAAAAGTTAAGCCGGGCGGTGGTGGCGCATGCCTTTAATCCCAGCACTTGGGAGGCAGAGGCAGGCGGATCTTTGTGAGTTCGAGACCAGCCTGGTCTACAAGAGCTAGTTCCAGGACAGGCTCCAAAACCACAGAGAAACCCTGTCTCGAAAAACCAAAAAAAAAAAAAAAAAAAAAAAAAAAAAAAATCCAAAAAGTTCATTTTTCTGCATCATCAAAATCAAATTTCAGGGCTAGAGAGACTATTAAAGAAATTAGGACCACTTGCTGCTTTTGCTAAGGATCTAGTTTTGTTTCCAATCAGCCACGCAGAGCTTCACAACCACCTATAACTTTAGATCTAAAATCCATAAGCACCAGACATAAACATGGCACAAATTCAAATAGGCAAATACTTCAAAGAAAATAAAAATAAATATATCAGTTGAAAAAATATTGACTTGATGGAGTACTCTGAAGACTCCAAATTCATACCTGAAAATATATTTTCAATTTATTTATTATTTTAAGCATATGATCACTGTGCCTGCATAAAGTATGTGCATGCCTATACTCAAATGACAGAAAGAATGTTTCAAATCCCCTGCAACTGAGCTGACTATAACCACCATATCTGGATACCAAATGCAGATCCTCTGCAAAAGCAAGTTCTCTTCAGGACAGATCGATCAATATAGCCAACTTTTAATAATTTTTAAAGTTATGTTTACAAGTAGTTCTGGTTCACCTTCTTGTATAAGCACTGTACACCTATGTAACTTTGAATTAACTTGTTTCCTTTAGTGAAAAGTATCACAATTGCTAAGTTATTAATTAATAAAAACATGGTAGGTAAAGATTACTTCAAACTCTAAATATTTGGCATAACACTGTAAGACAATATTTCTAAATATGAAGTTAAAAAAATTCAGAAAACTATTAAACTTTTCAAATAATCCAGTAGTCAGGCTTTTAAATTTAGTGTTAAAACTTTGAACATATTAAAATGACAATGGAGCCCAGCAATGGTGGCGCACACCTTTAATCCCAGCACTCAGGAGGCAGAGGCAGGCGGATCTCTGGGAGTTCGAGGCCTACCTGGTCTACAAAAGCTAGTTCCAGGACAGGCTCCAAAGTTACAGAGAAACCCTGTCTCGAAAATAAAAAAAATAAAAAAATAAAAGTCAATAGAGTGGAACTCAAAATATTAAAATTGCCTTAAAGAATTCAAACCTGAGAAATGGCTTAGAAGTTAATGTTATTGCTTGCTCTTCCATAAGAAGTAGTTTCATTTCCAAGAACCCACATGGCAGTTCACAACCATCTATAATACCAGTTCCATGAAATCTGACACCCTCTTCTGATTTCCTTAGCCACCAGTCATACATGTAGTATGCAGACATACATGTGGACTAAATATCAATACACATAAGATAATAAAATAAATTGTGCAAAAAAATAAAAAATAAAAAAATAAAAAATAAAAACCAGCCTGGTCTACAAGAGCTAGTTCCAGGACAGGCTCCAAAAATACAGAGAAACCCTGTCTCGAGAAACCAAAAAAAAAAAAAATAATAAAATAAAAATAAAAATAAAAAAAATAAATAAATTGTTCAGTGGTGGCACATGCCTTTAAAATAAGCACTTGAAAAACAGGAGTCAGGTCTATTATTTTAAGGCCAGTAAAGTCTACATAGTGAGTTCCTGGACAGCCAGGAATACACAGAGAAATCCTGCCTCAAGAAAACCATGAATTAATAATTTGTTTTAATTAATTACAAAAAAACTACTGATATCATTGTTTTGCAATCTAAATTATAGAAAAACGTAATTTAAGGCTTAAGAAAAAGGTTTTGTTTTACAGGAAAAAAGTACATGAACTTAAAGCATGTTTGGTTGGCTGACTGAAAGGTATATTAGAAAGTAATATATTTATTTGTCTACATAATGAGTTCCAGGACAGTCAAGACTTCATAGTAAGCCCTGTTTCAAAACAAAACTAAAAAACCCAGCAAGACATATGGAAATTACTAATAAATAGTCCTTAATAAATATGAGTTACTATAACCACAAGAAAGATACAATGGACTTTTAATTATGAATTAGGTAAAATGTTTTAAAAATTAGAATTTATATTTATCCTGGAATTGAGAAAACAAAAAAGAAATCAATCTAATTTGGCAAATAAAACATAAATATACATAAGAAGCATAAATATCTGGCTGACTGGATAACTCATGGAAGATAACATATAAAAACTGTTGCTGTTTTAGTATGAATACATACAATATATGATTTTAACATAATGATAAAATTATCAAGTACAACATCTAGATGAATGACTATAGTAATGAACAGTACCTAAGTTTATATAAGCATGTAACTCAAATGCTTAATTGTCTTAGAAAATATGCTTTTGGCACATTTGAGCATCCTTTGGTATACCTTTGGTATATATATAACACACGCCCAAAAGTAGTATTGCAGGATCTTGATGTAGATTGTTTCCTAATTTTCTAAGAAATCGCCACATTGATATACAAAGCAGCTGTACCAGTTTGCTAAATTGTACTACAAGGACATATACTCAACTATATTTATAGCAGCATTGTTTGTCATATAAGAACCTGAAACAACTAAATGCCCCTCAACCGAAGAATGGATAAGGAAAATGCAGTACAATTATATAATGTCCTGAAAAAAATAATGACATCTTGAAATTTGCAGCAAATGGAAAGATCTAGAGAACATTATATTGAGAGAGGTAACCCAGACCCAGAAAGAAAATATCATATGTACTCGCTTATAAGTGGCTTTTAGACAGAAAGCAAAGAAAAACCAGCCTACAGTTCACAATCCCAGAAAACCTAGATGAAAAAGATGACCCTAAGAGAGACATACATGGATCTAATCTACAAGAGAAGTAGAAAAAGACAAGATCTCCTGAGTAAATTGGAAGCATGGGGACCATGAACGAGAGTAGAAGGGGTGGGTGGGGGAAAAGAAGAGGAGCAGAGAAAAAGGTATAGCTCAATAAATACAATTTTAAAAAGTATATTGCAAAAAAAAAAGAAAAGAAAAAGAAAATAGGCTTATGTTTATCCTGGTATCAAAAAATAGATTTCATAACAAAATCAATTGATACTAAGGGGCAGCAAACCAGAGTGTATAAATGTATCTTTTCAATTTCAATCTACCAAAGAATATGAAATTTGTTTTATATAAATATAGAACAATGAAACTATGAAATTGCTAATGGTTCAAAATAAAATGATAATAAATGATACTATTTTCATATAAGTACAGAACAATGAAAATACAAAATTGCTCCTAGTTCAACATAAAAGAATGGAGCTCCACCAGGAGCAGAAGCCAGGCACAAATCCAGTCCCGAGACATCTGGCAGACCAGGATTGAGCCAACAACCTGACTCAGAGTCTGTGATCTCCATCAGAACTAGAGTGGGACTGTACCAGATGCCTAGGAGAGAGAACAAGCTCCACTAGGAGCAGAAGCTAGGAGCAAACTCAGTCCTGGGACATGGGCTGATCAGGATAGAGACAGCAACTAAATCCATAGTCAAAGATCTCCACTGGAACAGGTACAGGGAAGTAACCAGAGACAGTGAGACACAGCCAGAGACTGCTGAGGGTACAGAATTTGGCACCTTCAAGGGAGTAGACCTAAGCCAACACCTTGCTGGTCAGGGTGAAAGTCTAGAACCTTCCAGGAACTATGCCAGAGCCAGGACCTCTGTCAGCCTGAGCTTGAGTGAACCTGGGTCCTCCAAAGGAATAGGCAGGAACCAGAGATCTAGGAGGTGCCAGGAGCAAGTCTGGGATCTCAGAGAGAGTAGGCATGAGCCAGGTCCTCTATGGGTTCAGGCATTGGTTTAGGACATCAAAGGGAATAGGCAGGAACCTGGAACCCCTGCTGGGTTCAAGCACAAGTCTGGGACTTCCGAGGAAGTAAGCAGGTCCTCTGCGGGTTCAGGTGCACCCGAGCCTGGGACCTCCAAGGCAGTAGACCAGAAAAAGAAACCTTTCCATGTCTAACCAACCCAGAAACTTCTTTAGGAGGGAATCCAGACCAGGATTTACAGATACAGGTCAAAGCCAGTAACCTAGGCAAAAGTTGACCTCAGGCAATAAACTTCATCTTAGCAAACAAATTCCACAGGAGTGGAACAGAACAAGACACCTAAGACAGAGAGGGCCTGAGGAAACAAGCTCCAGGGGAGCAGAAGCCAGGAGTAAATCCACTGCTAGAAACCAACCCATTCCCAGAACACTGGTGGATCAGGACTGAGACAGCAACCAGATCCAGAGTCAGCAATCTCCACCAGAAGAGGTCCAACTCCAAGTCAGGGACGTTTTCAGAAGAAGATCCAGAGCAAGATTTACAGAAACAGATCGAGGCCAGCAGGCTAGGCCAAGGTAGGCTTAAGACAGCAAACTCCAAGGGAACAGAGCAAAGCACAAGAGCACTGAGCTATCTCCAGGAACAGAAGTAACCAACGGGGTAACTAGAACTGTGACACTGACTGTACCATGAGGAACAACCATCTGAGCTTTGGATTCACTGGCACCTAGAAGATTATTCAACAGAATGTCAAGAGAGCCCCAACCATACCTATTAGAGGAAAAGATGAGTAGAAAAGGTAAGATCACGTGCTACACCACAAAGAGCAACACAATACCAGT